GACATGCAAAAGAAACTTCAGTAATAAACTGAAAAGTGATATGAAGACTGGTTAGTGGTAAGCATGACCAGACAACGTTTTTGCAAAGAATCTTGGCAAAGCCTAGTCGTATGAAAAACTACCAGGCTTCCAACAGTGTTGCTTCTCTTTGCAGGCTGATGAAAATGCTGATATTGGAGGTACGCTAGAGGATGAAGATGACAGTTCAGATGATCCAAACCTTCAGGTAATAAAACCATGCAAAGACTCATATTTATATTCTTATATGCATTTTGTTTTTTATTTATTTGGTTGATTAAAGACAGCTATCCACTGCTAATAAGGGGGAAACATGTCTTTTATGTTTTCTTCTGTAATTTCTCGCCAGCTTGAACTCAATGTGTTCAGAGCTCAGTGGATGTCTGAACTCAAGCCGAGCCCTGGAATGAGTGACCGACTGCAGAGGGTAAGAGGTGTGAAGAGGACTCAAGACATTGCTCGAGAGGAAAAAGTGAGCTGGTTTACTTATCTTTTTTTTTTTATTTTATTTTTTTTTGCGTGACTAACAGTTTGGTAAAGTGTTACATTAGATAACTGAGATTCACTTTACTGTCAGGCTACAGAGCTGTTTCTGAGAGCTGTTCAGGAGGAGCAGAGTGGGGCTGTCTATGAAGGCAAGTAAATGGAAGGCGGTGAACATACTTGTTAGTGAAATGATAAATCAACTTCAAAAATTACTTTCAGAAGCAATCACAATCTTATTTTTAAATGATTCCTTTGGTATTTGAGCTTGTTTAACTGCCACCTGTACTGTCTGAGTTGTGTGTGAGAACTTGCATGATTCAGTGTCATCCAAGTACGTTTTCATTTACAGCTATCAAGTTCTATCGCATGGCTATGCAGCTTGACCCTGACATTGAGTTTAAAATCAACTACAGCCGTCCTCCTGACGCAGACAGAGGTGGAGGAAATTAGTAAGTTACATTTTACACCCAATTAATGTCAGCGCAGTCAAATTATGCAATGTAAAGTTAAATTGCTTCTCTTCTTTTGATTAAATAATATTTTAACAGTTGGCTAATAGATAACTTCCCCTTTATATTCTCCTACAACCCGGCCTTAGATTGAAGACATTCTTAATCTTGATGTAGCCCAAACTGAATACGAGTTTGATACACCTGTCTTATTGCATCAAATCATAAATTCCAGCATCACCATCTTATTCAACACAGACTCATGAATTATCAATGAATTGTAATTTTCTCAGCATGGAGGACAGTGACACTGATGGGGAGATTGAGGATTTGCTCACCTACTTTGAGCAGCAGCTCACTCTGGAGGGCTCCTTTCCAAAGATCTGCACTCCTGAGCTTGAAGCGACTCAGACACACATTTCAGGTAGAGACGGCTTCCTGAACCTTGTGTGAACTCTCTGAGATCCTCACGTTTGTGTCTGTATTGAAAGCTGCGTTCTCCAATTGCAGCGCTGCCACGGGAAATCCTGATGTACATATTTCGCTGGGTTGTGTCGAGCGAACTGGACATGCGGGCCCTGGAGCAGCTGTCTTTGGTCTGCCGGGGGTTCTATATCTCTGCCAGGTGAGTGGCTGGTTTGTAGTCAACTTGTTTCTGCTCAACAGGTTCAGAAATATTCATCTTTTTCTATTATTTATTCATTGTATCTTCCTCAGAGACCCTGAGATTTGGCGTTCTGCTTGTTTAAGAGTTTGGGGACGAAACTGCACCAAAGTAGTGCCCTTCAAGTCCTGGAGGGAAATGTTCCTGCAAAGGCCACGTGTCCGGTTTGATGGTAGCGAAACATTGTTTCAGCTTCAATTTTATTTTGTTTAAATGTCGGAATATTTAAGAAATATATTTAAGGAATATTTCAGTCTTTCTGTTTTTTAAATCATGCCTTCGAGTGTTTAAAAAAATGGCCTTTACTTAAGAGAAAAATAAAACAAAAAGACAGAGCATTCTGTAAGGAAACAAAAAATACTCAGAAATTTGCAAGTTAAGATAAAAGTATATTTATAACCAGTCAAGGGGCTGCACAAAAATCATTGAAAGGGCCACAAATGGCTGTTGGTTGACTTTCATTTAACTTATTAGGTTAGTTATTTACAAGTCAGTAAGTAAACCTGTTTTGTGCTTGCTTTGCAATTGATGTTAAATTTCATAAAAAGTCCCTAAAGTCATAAGTTTAACTTTTACTGGAATGGTACTGGGATGATACATATTAATACGATATCCCAAATCCAAGTCTTGTTTTCATGAAAGAAAAATTTAACAGATGTGATTAAAGAGTTCTTGTGAGAATATTGTTTTAGGAGTAAGTGTGTATTTAGTGCGTATAATTTATTGTCCCTTCGTGCGACTTTTCGTCAGGTGTCTACATCAGCAAGACATCGTACATCCGTCAAGGAGAGGAGTCCTTGGACGGATTCTACAGAGCTTGGCATCATGTTGAGTACTACAGGTACGCTACTGTTTATTCATGTCTCAATTAAAAGGCTAAACACACAAAGTTTCAAACCAGTATCTGTTATGTTTTGACATTGCCATTCAAGGTACCTCCGGTTCTTCCCCGACGGCTTTGTCCTGATGCTGACCACCCCCGAGGAACCTTTGTCAGTCGTTCCCCGCTTGCGTACGAGAAACATCAGGTACAGCTCTGTGCTGCACAAGCTCTGAAATACCATCAGCATTTGGGACTGCTGAAATTGTCTTTCCTCTTACAGAATGGATTCTGTTCTGCTCGGTCATTTCCGTCTGTCACAAGAGACGGACAACCAAACCAAAGTCTTTGCTGTCGTCTGCAAGAAAAAGGAGGATGTAAAGTTTTTTTCCTTTTGTGGTTTAATTTTAATTAAATTTCTCCAACGTTTGTGTGTGAAATGGTGATGATCAGCATATTTGATGTGCATTGACGGCAAAACTTGACAAAATGGAATGTTTATTGCCTGTTAAACACTTCAAACTACCTTTTGGCTGTAAAGTGCTGTACAAATAAACTCGAACTTGAATGTTCCAGGTGAGTTTTCAGGTCCCGAATCAGCTTGTAACCGTCGTCGTTTCTTTGCAGAAAGCGACCGAGTTTCAAAGAAATCGGTTCTGCAGGCGGAACCAGGCTCCCGAGGCTGAGCACGCCTTCCATGTGGGGCTGCATCTGACCTCCAGAGGGCGTCAGAGTTTCAGTAAGCTTGTGTGGATCCACCACTCCTGCCACATCACTTACAAGTAAGACTCCAGAGTACTGTCGTAAATTAGCAGAAAAAAAAACCCCGTGCTTCCTGCATTTGTAGTTTTTAATTGACCATAATCATGTCTTCAGGTTGACTGGGGAAACTGTCATCACAAAATTTGACCTCGACAGGATGTACACGCCCTTCTTCTTTGCACGAGTGAAGAGCTACACCGCTTTCTCCGAGCAGCCGCTGTAAGGAGCAGATACAGCCGTGCATGATCCCGTGAAAATCACAGAAGAAGCTAACTCGCCATCTAAAAAAACAAAAAAAAAACAAATCCTCCTCAGTCTGTGCAGTTTGTGCTGTAGCAGGATTATGGTGTCGCCTCTAACGCCCTCATGTTACCCCACATGCCAGCATGTTTTGTTTCAGGTTTGCCTGTTAGGATGCTGCTTATTTTCTGATAATCAGAAATTACAGTGATTTGCTGAAAGCTACACTGATTAGCAACCTTCCCCACCTGTTTCAAGCAATGAATGTGATTTGTTTTTGTTTCATTGTGCACTTTCTTCCTCAAATAAATGAGATGAAAATAAAATGGGTCTTGGTATTGCAATATGTAACAATGCAAATACATTTGTTTGTGCACGCACAGCTGTGGCGATAAAATGATGATTCGTGAAAAAGTCGTGGAGATCCTGTTACACAACCCCGGTGAACAGACAGTACAGATCTGATTTCTGACTTGCTGCATTTGTCCTACAGCTGAACGCATCAGTATAATCCATGTATTTTCTGAGAACCAAACACAAGCAGAGCCAAAGGGATTTACGGAGATAAAAATGGATAAAATTATTTGCTGCCTTTAGCTGTTTCAGAAGCTTTTAATGAACTGATGTAAAAGATAAAAAGCTTCCACGTTTAAAACAGTACAGCAGGGTTGTCTAAAGTGTGGCCCTGGATCAATGGACTGATTTAAAAAAAGGTTTTATTAAATTACAAGAACAGTTTTATTAACTTCCTCCATCTCACCATGTTTGCCTTATGTAAAACTAGAGATCTTACTATTACTACCTTTGTCCATGTCACACCCTGATGTCTGACTTCAGCAAGTCTGTGGGAACAAAAAAAATTTTTCTCCATTTCTAACATGGAAGTTTCTACCAGGATCATTTTCACTTTGAGTATGAAAAGTGGTGAAAATTCAGACTTCATGTACCCTTCAAATTTTCTGTGACAAAGGGAGTAGCAGATTAATTTTTTTCCGAGGCTTTTGCAAACCTTTACCAGACGTGTGGAGAAATGTGGAGGGCAGCGTACGCTTGACCTTCCTCTGCTGCCTCACACGACGGCTTCACAAAACCAGGGAGTATCTATTTGAAATACTGCCTGGGAAGCATGCCACCAAACTTCACAAAGAGTTTCTCTGTGCTCCCAACACGTGGTGCAGTGTGTCACACTCCAGTCCACCAAGCCCACTCACACGGTGTGTGAGGCGAGAACGTCAGAGCGAAAAAGTCTTCCAGAAGCAAGTCTTTCTTTCTTTGTTTCTTTTTTTCTCTGGAACGGTGTATCTTAATTTTTCTTTGTTCACAATTTGTGGTCCGAGTCTGCCAAACCAAATCAGTTACAAATGTTATCAGGTTCAGTGTTATGACCAAGAATCCCAAAAATGTGTGAAACCTTGACCCTATCACGCTCAGAGTTCACAATTGGTGGGAGCCGTTGTCAGAAAAATATTAAGAAAAAAAACTGAACATATAATCTATTGATCTCGTTTTTACATTCAGCATCCTAACTTTTAACTTTTCTCATAGAGAGGGACAAGGAAGATAAAACATAACAAAAGCAAATATTTATTTGATTACTTAAGTTAGTACTTGATACAAAATTAAAACTTTACAGCTTCAAAGCAAAGTTTCCATTTGAAGTTGTAAGTTTCAAAGTAAGTTTCAAACTAAAGCCAACAAACGTCAGTTGACAAATGACAATTATTGCAACACAGTTCTGATCAGACAAGGATCTCAGAGTGAGGGATACACATGTTGTTTCATTTTTGCCATGGAAACATTATTCATTTTTACATCTTTTTCCACCTGGAAAAAAAAAGTAATGCTGGACGCTGTGACTGGTCAGAGTTGTAGTTTGTTTTTAATGTGTAAGTAAAGCATCAGTGATAACATATCACCTGAAATTTACACCAGACCTCAGAAATATATATATTTATATATATATCATACCATTACATTCATTTTTGCCTTCTTTATGAATTAAACCAGTGCTAACTCTGCTCATAAATACATACAAATACACCTGAAATTGAACAAAAACAGCTACAGTTATGGTATGTTTTTATAATATTAGCAGTTACACGGACGTGGACGTCTACGGCATTGAGAAATGTGGATTTGCTGATTTTCACATTTCCGAACAACTGAGGAGGGAACGGAGGTCTGCGTGTTTGGGCAGCGTCTTACTGAGTCATTACGTACGTGTGCCCTGAGAGCTGGAGTCAGTTAACCGGGCCGGAGATTTTAGCGGGAAACATCCAGCCTGGCTCTGTCTGAACCCATCAGACCTAAAGAGGAGGTCTGATGGGTTCGGTTTGTGACAGAACAGAGTGGGTGCTTCACTCTGCAGCGCCTACGCTGAGTTAAGCGTGCTGTCTGCAACCTTACGCACTACACTTCCACTGTCTTATTTCTATCAAAATCAACTTGCGCATACGTTTTGTTTTTTTAAAAAAACTTAACATTTCTGATTTTCAATTGTTAGTGAGATACAAATCAACATGAGGGATTCTGAAGGAACTAAACACATTTGATGAATTTGATTAGTGAAAATTATAATTCTAAGCTGTGTGACAAAATATATTAGCTGGTCCAGAAGGCAGCACGTTTATTTATAAAAATGCTATAAGTTTGAACTTTTAACCCTCTCCAGGCAGATGTTGCAGATTTGCAACAGCTAAATGCTACTTAGCTAGTCTTTGCAAGTAATTTGAGCCTGAGAGGGTTAACACACGAGTGTTAAAAGTTAAAGCTTTTATGTATTTATGTATTTCTGTTATTATTGTCTCAGAAAAGCAAATGTATGATACTCTCTACAACAATGGATGACCAAAGTTTCTTTCATTTTTTTTAAACAATTGCATTTAATACAGTTCAAATTTGACAAGTCAAAGCATTGCTGACAAAATTGGTCCAAGAAACGAGTAAAATAGCCTTAACCACACTGCCAGATCTGAGAGCTAACTTCAGCATTTTGCTGATAAATGAAAGTTGGGATGATAAATGTTTGTTTCACAGTTTAGGTCTAGATAAATATCGAATTGCAAAACTGAAATTTCATATAAAACATTAATATTGCATGGAAAATACTTTGTGTGTTGTTTAAGAATGGAAGGTGCTTGAAATGTTTTGATGTCGTTTTCGAGGGTTGTTTTCTCAAAGCCACCTTCCTGAATTGTCCTAACAGAAAAAGTTAACAGCGTTTAACTCCATTAGCTTTTTCCATTGCCTCCCTTTGTAAGATGGTGCGGCTGCTGGTCTGCATACTGGTCAAGGTTCACTGGATTACTGAGAGAAACCTTTGCTATTTTTAGCCACTCAATAGTCACAATGTCTGCACCAAAACGTATCTATTAAAGAGCAAGCAGAGTTACTACTAATGCCATTCACAGGCAGGGATTTGAAACTCAATTTTTCTGTTTGAATTTTTTTTTTTAATTTTCTTCTGATGTTCTTCATGTAGGGTTAAATCTAGATTTTTAAGTTCCATTAAAACTGTAATGTAGTGTTGATACCAAACTATCCAGTCGCGTTAGAGTTTTCAGCACTCACTTTTTTTTTTCAGAAGTTTCTGAACATCAGCTTATTCAGGTAAAAATATGTCGTGTTGAAAGCTTATGCAACTGCCCAGAACCAACAGACAACACAACATTTAAGCTTTTTGCATTTCTCATAATGTCCTGCAATGATTTCTCAGATGAATAATTGAGTCGATGCAACACAGTGTGAAAGGAGAATTAATGTTCTGACAAAACTCCTTCACCGTTGGATCATTTATTGTCCTGCTTTTGAAAACACAGGAGCTCTCCTTTCACGCTGTGGACACAGTTGACCTGAATGCTAATATGAGCAACACTTTGGTCTTGATGAGACGGCTCGGCATTTCAAACCGACCTGACAAAAAGTACCTGACTGAGACCAAAAGTTTGGATTGTGCAAGCAGGAATAAGATAAAGTGAGACACATATGTATCATGATGCAGGATAAAAAAAACATACTAATTGCTGTTTGTTTTAAAGCGTCTCTTAAACTGATATCATGATGTGCAAAAAAATGTTCTGCCAACATGCTCTGTTGTTAATCTTTGGACCTTTGTTGTGCAAAGCATTGCTGAATTTTTCTGACTGTATGTTTGAGTGCACTGAGCTTTTTCTTAGAATTAACAGACCGAAAGGCGAGGGAGGCGCAGTGGAAAGATTCAGGAATACTAAAGTACTCTTCACTTACAGCTATAATGATTCAGTAGTTCAGACCTATTTTGTATTTATGTGAGGGAAATAAAGGAAAAGTTTCTGCATGTGTTGTCTGTGGCTATGGCTTATTTTATCCAGGTGAGTGCTGGTCTGGTCTATTCTAGATAAAAATATTCATATAACTCTAGCAGCATAACCTAAGGGGCTACAGTGGGAAACTGGTGGTAGTTTCTCAAATATCAATCCACCCTGCGCTTTCTGGGCGCTGTGTGCTCCATCGACGCCGTTCCGTTGGCGTGTCCGTTTACCGACGCGGAGGAACCGTTCTGCTTCCCCTTCTTTTGAGAATCGATGCGCTTCTTGTACGTCTAGAGTGGAAAGAGAGAAAAAACAAAGTCAATTGAGGAATACGTTTTCAGTGACATATATGTATACTTCTAAAACAAAGTGAAGTAAAAGGTTAAATTGCACTTTAATCATATGGTTTATGATGTAACAGACTGTATAGCTATGTTATAAAATATGCAATCAGCATAAATCACATTTTGTCTCATGAGAATATCTATTACAGAACAACAAACACTTGAATGAGTCTAGTTTAGGGTAGATTTACAGTATAACTAAGAAAATCTTTATAAAAATTCCTTAGAAAAACAAAGGCAACTAAGTGTGGCAATGCAATGTGTTAAAAAATTATGACAGATAAATATTTATTGTAAAGAAATTAAAAGCTTTTGCTGTCACAATAATTAATTCTGAATGGCTTTAAAACGGTTTTTATAAGGCTTTCCACCTTTCCAGGAATCAGGATGGATTTCTAGGATCAGAATTGACACCTGTGTGATTTCACTGCATCGTCTGTCTACCAGTATAAAAATAGTTAGCATTTTTTCATCACCCTCACACACTCAGTAACACTCTTCCTCTTCGCTCAACAGGAACTTCCCTCATATTAACACCAGCAGTTGAAACACACACAATAAACATAGAGAGGGGAAAAAAAGTTCAGAGTAATATGACAATGGAAACATGACCTCAGAGGCTCTCGTTTCTTCTTAAAAATATGAAACGCATTTCTGAAAACACAGAAATGCGTGGAGGAAACAGAATGGGTCGTCAAGTTAGCTTTCCTGTTAAGCCAGGCATGATAATGCACACAATATGAAAGGATCTACGACCGAAGTTATGATTTTCAAAGAAAGAAAAAACAAGCAACATAACATAAAACACTGAATCGTACAAAATGAGGACTAAAGCTTAAAAGCAGAAATAAAAAAAAGGAGCAAACAAATCATCCCAAGTGACGCAATTTATCAAAGAAACTATTGAACCTCAGGGCATCATTCTGTTTGTTACTCTACAGATTCCACACATCCGTGTTCAGGGAGGTTTGTTGCATGTGTGCTATATATCTATAGCACACATGTATATGTCTTCGACTATTACATGTAAAAGGCAGAAGAATCTCACCTGGACGTAGAAATTTGTGAAAAGGACAATGAACGAGAACATGTAGCTTATTTGGAAGTACAGCCATCTCATGGGGAAGCCGCACGGCCAGACCACTGCCAACGCCGTCTGCATCACGGTCAAACAGAACTGGATCTGCGGAGAGAACAAGAAAACTTGCAAACACTGAAGCGCTTGAAGGACAGGGAAGACGAACAGACTAATGAGTCTGTATCCGCTTTTTAAACAGAACAATAAAACAACTGCTGTTTGCTATTTTTAAAAGGCTCAGCAGACACACAATAAGTTTCCCTTTTTTCTATTAAGAACACTGAATTCCTATGTCACCAATTCTTTAACAATTTTGACACCTATAGGAGACTCTATGAAAAAAAGTTGCATATTAAATTGTATTTCCCATGCACCATATGATACAAGAGATCAGGCAATTTAGACTCTAAATGGGGCAATTATTTTAGCAAGATGTCCCCACAAAATCTGCTGATCTGAATTTTAAGCCATTTCAGTTGAGAAAGTGCTGTGAAGAAAAGTGACTCAAACTGAACAGAGCAAGGAGAGTTTTATCAGGGAAGCAGGTAAAACATGCCAATGAGATCTGGAGGAATCTGGATAGACCCATAAATTAGCACTATCCATGGGGGTGGCAGTATTATGCTGTGGGGACGCTTTTCTTCAGCAGGAACAAGTTAAACTGAAGCAGCGACAAAACACCGTCCAGTGGGACAACAACCCTTTAACTACACTCAGAGCTACTTGTCGGAATGGTCCAATTAAAGTAAAGACCAACACCTAGATGAAAATCTGTGCAGAGACTTAAAAACGGGTGCCCCCAACATAATATATCTGACTGAGTTTGAGGTGTTTTCCAAAGAAAAATGGACAGAATTGCATTCTGTAGATGCACAAAACTGCTAGAAACTAACAAAACACTGACTCAAATGAAGCTGACTGTTCAGATAAAACAAAAAAACAAACAAAAAAAAAAACGATTATAAGTTAATATTTAAGTAAATAAGCATATATCTGCCAGTGCACTTTCCATTTCTTCCTGGCGCATCTGAGGTTTTGCTTTAATAAGGATTTAATGCAAATAAGACAATGTGTAGGAAGGATAAATTCAGGATGGTGTCTGTCCACCTTGGGAAAAATTCTTCAAATAAACTTCATCAAGGCAGGAAATATTCTCACAAATAGATCCAGCAAAAATCCTCCAAGCTCTTTAAGCCATTCAATTGACATTTTAGAATACAGTGAACAAGACGTTCTCGTCATATAAACTTTCCACTTCAGAGAGCATTATGATTGAACAGGCAGCAAATTCAGGGAGATTCTCGTGACAGAGCTACAATATAACTCAATCTGAACAATGCTCAAACTCTCCACGTATGCAGCGGACTCGAGGTCACAGCTTTGTCAAAATGCAGGAAGCGACCTGAGGAAAAGACAAGAGCTGAAAATGTCTCACAGCTTAAGGCTTCAAAAGCACAGAAACAGCCCTGTGCATCAGTACAATGAAACTGTGCTCACACTGAAATACAACTGAGCCGGCAGAAAAATATTCAGAGAAATCATACAGAAAAAATGAAGATGTCCTTTCAGTTTGACACATTTGGTGAACTTTTTCCAGGCAAACTGGGCGAACAATGTCAAATTAAATGAACAAGTTTTGTGCACGGGTGTGCATACTTGTTCAACTCGATTTGTTTTTCCACTGAATTGTATCAGAGGACAAGCTTTGACATGATTTATCGTGGTTTTACTTTTTCACATTACAAAAATGTGGGGACATTTCAGCGGGGACATTTCCGCGACTTTCTGCTTTACTCAAGAAAAGCAACCGACTGCTCTGAGTGAACCTACCAGCTGCAGCTGGGTGATATACCTCTTCCACCAGAGGTACGGTCGGAGGGCAGGAATGGCTGCGAGGCAGTAGTAGGAATACATCACAACGTGGACGAAGCTGTTCAGGGAGGACCCGAAATATGCTGAGGAGAGACGCGAAGTTATTTATCTGCACCAAACACTAAAAAAAGACACATGAATAATTCCTAAAGCTTTCTCGGGATGAAAAGCTCCCAAACAAAAAGCTTTTCGCACAGAGCTGCAGTTTTCAGGTTAGTGTGCCCTTTCAACTGTGCAGGGAGAACTAACTGCTTTCAGACGTGACTTTAACGAGGAAGCTCTTGAATTATTTAGCTCTATTAAGGGGCCAAATGGTAAAAAAAACAAAACAAAACAAAGGATTCTGGAGGCGGAGGAGTGTGAATCTGAGTGAAACACTCACAGTGACCGCAGGGTATCCAGTTCATGACGAACCACCAGATGTTCAGCATGCTGGCGTGGTGGTAGACGTGGAGAAATGTGATTTGGTGATTGTTTTTCCGCAGTATGAAGAAAAAGGTGTCGATGAACTCGACCAGCTTGGAGAAGTAGTACCACCAAAGGACACTTATGATCTGGAAGAGGGTCACGGCACAAAGGAATGTCACAAACACAAATAAAAACAAACAAACAAACAACAGCGTTTCTGGAGGTAGATTCTAGTTCAGAACAACATAAAGTTAGTGTAGGCTAATTTTATGAATCACCAATCAAAATAAATAAAATCAAGTGGTCATCAAAAAAAAAACTTTCATTGTTATCAGTATTTATCTTTATGCGACTCTTTGCTTAAAGTGAGTCGAAACAAATCATTATTACAATGCCACGCAAAAGTAAACAGCATGCAGTGATAAACAGTAAGTTTGTGTAATTGTTAAGACCTTTTCATCCACTTCTGGCGCACTGTAAGTGTTCTGGCAGTAGAAGTTGTATCCGCCGTACCATGCACTCGTAGCAAGCTGCAGAGGAAGCCGTTAAGATAAACGATGAATGAATTGGCTGTAAAATCACAACAGTGAAGTCAACAAAAAGACGGCGAGGAGCCTAAAGGCACTGCTCCAGCGTAACGACACAAACACATCAATACAGAGCAACTTAGAAAAGCAGATCAAGTTTCTTATCTCTTGCTTAAGGTTGGATCGACTTGGCTTCAGTAGCCCACTCTGGTTTGAGCCGACCATGAACCACAGATGATAAAACCGCAGAACCTTCAAGCCCCAAAAGAAGATTAATGGTCCAGCTGAGAGACACACATGTCTTCTACAGCGAAACAATTTATAAATAAATCAAAAATAGAAAGCACTTTGCTGATCAGTAAGTATTTGAAAAAGAAATACCAATGATTTATGATAAACAAGTGTTTCTTTTAGCTGTTTTTTTTTGGATATGTTACAATATCACTCACAATGCAAAGGTATGTACAAATGTTTAAATATGTTTGGTTTCTTGCAATCATGTTTGGAAATATTTGTTTTTAACAAACAAAACAGCTATTGCTGTAATCAGTGGTATCCCAAGCAACTGATGCAGAGCAATTTTAAGTGAAACATTTTTAAAGCTTTCTGTACTTTTTAAGGTTAGCAGAGGTCACAGGATGGTTTAATTGTATCTTTAGTTTTTTTTAAAATGGGATAATTACTCAGAATGAGCACAAGAGTGACAATAGTGCCTCTATTCTATCTATTGCTGTGCCGGTTAGACAAATTTGACTGTGTGGAATTTGGTTCGACACACAACAAAGTATGGAAACGAGTGATTTCTTTATCCTTTCAAGGCCACAATTGTATCTAATTGAAAAGGCGGTTTATTTCCCTTTAACTTGTGCCACGTTTGGAGGGGAAATACGTATCTGGGTTCACCAGCAGAGCGGAGTACGTGTTTTGCTCTTGAAAAATGGAGCTTCACCCATAACAGTTATTAAAGTAATGCCTGATTTAAACTGCAAAGTCTGTCAAGGGTCCGACAATCGGGTCTGAAAAATTAACCAGATAATATCAGCTTGTTATTTTAGAATTACTGTAAAAAGAGCAGAATGGCACCTAAGGATTACTGGTGAATTTGTTGATCTAGTATAACAACAAGTAGGTGGTGTTACAGTTGTTTTATTATTAATATCCTATGCCAATGTCCACAGGCGATTGAAATGTTTCAAACCTCTTGAGAAATTAAGGCTGAACAAAGTTTCTCTTGCCACCATGCCAAGGATGCTGAAGGAGATAAAAATTGAAATGACTAAAAATCTTTTGTGATACTGCAGAAAATAATACATCTATTTTAAAGGTTTTGTACACAGAGTACCAATAACTGTAGAGAGAGCTGAATGTGATAACACAAAAGAAAAAGAGAGATGGCTTTGTTCAAAGAACATGAAAGTAAAAATACATGAATTCACCATCTGTGGATGAAAAGCCAACAAAACAAAAGGCTGTTACTGAAGTGTCAACAGACAGAAGATTAATTCTGGTTTGAGTTTGAATTGTTTCATTATGTGGACACAGACATTAACCTCTCTGTAACAACCACTATCCGGCATATTAAACAAAACACATTACAGCCTGAATATCGACTGAGCGCTGGCAGGCAGACAGGAAGCAGAGAGCTGCTCTGCACTTTGATTCACATCAGGTGACATCAGATTTGGCCCACTAAAAGTTCACCCTGGGACTGGGCCATTCGCATAGTCCAGAGTTTAATGAATAAAACGGCCAACTGTTCACTGGGACCTTACGCAATGCAGACGGCAAGACTGGAAGCCGGATGTGAACGACAGGACAGATACTCAGGACTGCTGTACACAATCGCTACATCTGTGTCACAGAAAAACAAATCAACAAATATATATTCTTGCTGCTGTGACAGCTCAGTCTATGCCAACTTGCCAAATACGCACAAGTGTGCTTACATCACTGTATCTATCAATTTCAGCAGCTTCGTCAGCTGCTTTGAAGAGGAAACACACAGAGAAATATAGGGCTGGCTGTGCTGACGTTAATCAGGACATGTGAGAGTTTTGATTTCTAAAACAGTCGGCCTATCAGCATCCTGTTATATGTCCTTGTCTTTTCCTGATAACATTGTCCTCAGGCACAGCTTTTAGTGAGACACAATCAAAACAAAGAGCAGCAGTGAAGAAATGGTTGAAATATTTTTTTCTCTAATTTAGATGTGAAGATTCATCACAGCTGGTTTATGTTTATATCCTAACACCTGCTGATGCCCATAGTTTTTAAGGCTTCGTGCTAAGATGAACTAACAGTCTCCTGAGGGTTGAGAAAGATCTTATGTTGGTTCAAATAAGTGCAAAGAATGGCTGGGCAAGTGAGCAATGTGGTGCAAATGTCTTGAATGTTTCGGATCATCAAACAAATGTTACGCCAGACAAAGATTTTGTAACAAAAAAAACGGCCATTTATTTTGAAAAAAGAGATTTTCAAACTATTAAACTAATGGTTGTGTTGTTATTTTGGCTATTTCAGCCACCATGATGTGAACCCAAGGTCCCACACCGACGACTTTCACCTCTGGACTCCTCCCAGGACGCTCTCTTGGCCCAGTTTATGTATTATTGTCATGAACACTGACCTTCACCAAGTCAAGTGAGATAAAGTGCTTTAGATGCTGGTCTGGGGTTTTACTGTGAACTCTTTGTGAGCTCCTGGAGGAAATCCTGTTAAATGTTTTCATGTGTTGATAACGGTTCCCAAGTGAGGTTTGCTGGAGTCCCAAAGTCTTGAAAATAACATTATAATCTGTTCCAGACTGATATGAATTTACTTCAACAGGTGAATGGATTAATAATGAACTCAGTAATCCAAATTAAATTGTTAATCATAGGTTATTCATGATTTACCAAGCTGGGCAGTTGTGTTTTCAGCATTTTTTTTTTTTTTGCCTTTTGATATTAACTCAAGTTATCTGTCTGATATTATTTTGATCATCTGAAACATTAACGAATGACAGAAAACCAAAAACACAAGTGATCTTTTAAGTATTCATAACAATGACAGCAGAACACACCACTGGAAAAAAAATGACAAGAACATTTAAAATGATCAGTTTCTCTGATTTTAATTTCTATAGGTATATGTTTGCGTAAAATGAATATTGTTCTTTATTCCCATGAACTTCTGACAACACGTCTCCTTGTAAATATAGATGAACAAAACACCTGATTCTGGTCCTTATCTGTATTTTTCTAAGCGTCTTTGCTGTGACGTTGCACTGTTTTGACTCATTTCTGCACTCTGCTCACCTCATACCACATGTAGAAGGACAAACAGGTGACTCCCAGATTGTAGAGCACCATGAGGCCTCGGCAGGAATATGGCTGCCTGTGCTTCATGTACTTGGGCCCCATCCACACGATCAGAAGGTACATGACTGTGAGTGCAAAGGTTGGTAGGTAACTGTCGAGCAGGAGCATTCCCTGCACCCTCTTATCTGAAACAAAGAGATAAAGAAGAATGCGAGTGAGATGAATTAGAGAAGAAAGGTCAGTGGGTGAAAAAGCAGAGAGGAATCATTTTATTGGTGTTTGAATGAGCATCACGGCTCTTACCTCTGGGACCCATCCATGTTTCAAAGTAGGCATTTAGTTTGTGATTTAAGGTCTCCATTTTTTTACCTGCAAACACAACGTGGAGATAAAAATTAATTGACGACATAGTATGTCATATTTGATGTCCAGCAAAGCTAAAGAATGATTGCTTAAATCTTTATAAAAAAAAAAAGCTAGCGTTGCGTGCAAAGTGAAAACAAAGGTTATAAAATATCATATTGTTGTTACAGGGAAGGAGTTATGGCCCAACCAACCAGTTCAACTGAGTTTGAAAACAAAAAAAAGTTTTTTAAATAGCAACCAAACAAGCTGGTAGAGACGTCAAAGAACTGATGCTGTAATTGCAGCTGTAAGTCATTATCAATGACCCATGTGGTGCACACCCCACTTTTCTGATTTGTATTTGTGAAAAATATTGAAGACCGTGTTTAATTTCCCTTCTGTATTACAACATCCACAACTTTGTGTTAGTTTATGTCATGGAATCCCATTAACAGACGCTGAATGGAAAGTTAAAGCATGGCTCTACATCCCTTCTCTGAAAACATTAATCGTCAAGAAAGCTAAACAGAGAGTAGAGCTCAACCTTTTTCTGTAGTGAGTGTAGTACAACTTTTACCCAAGAAGACCCATGAATGCATGTAGAAAGAAGAAAGACCAATCTGACTCCAAATGTTACTAATTCGAAGGAATTCAGGAATAACAACAGTCACATGGTCAACTCTGTGATTCGCTTAAACTGTAATTCTGCAGAGCTCATCAAAGCCATAAGCTGAAGCGTCAAACATACAGTTGGGCTTCAGTGCTATTGATCTTTGAAGCTGACCAAATAAATGTCCATACCGTGTAGTTTACTGAGACCCAGAGTGAACAGTAGAACCGGCAGCACCGCTTGAACTCAAGGGTCTCAGGTCAGACTGGTTTGCAGTAACCTCACAAAAATCAATACAAAAATACAGATAAATGGATTCATCGCTGATCATCTTCCAGTTTTCTTCCTACTGTTCATGGAAGATTAAAATGAGAACAAGAAAGCTTCTATCTTTATTGTAATGTTTCAAAAATAATGTTTTGCTGCTGCTGAGAGAAAAGATGAATAAATCCAAGAAACCTGGTCATTCAAGAAAACAGCCTAAAGTCGGTATTTCCCCAGAGCTACTATGACCAGTCATACTATTTTCAACATCCTGAGAGAATTACATAGTCTGCACTCTTTGTGATGTATTTTCTTGAAATGCATTAAAATGCGTTTCACTACATCACAGACAGCTGCCTCTCTCACTGCATAAGCACCTGTGTCCTTGGCTGGACGCACATCAGGAGACGCAGCATGTTTTCTGTGAAGTTTATTTCCTCTGTGAGATACTGGAACACACACAATATATACAATTTGAGCGAGAAAGAGTCGAGGCACAGAGCTGTTTATTTACACTGTAAGCGCAAAACAGTGTGAAAGGTTGGTAGAAAAACCTTAAAGTTTTGATTTTTTTAAGGAAAAAAGCAAATATAACAGATTTAAAATTCAAGGTGTTTAATAAAAAATGAAATGAAAGAACGACTTGCACACCATCTTCTGGGATGATGGTTTTCAGCAGTTTCAGACCCACAAAATTGCCACAGAAGAAGCTTAGACTATGGATTCGTGAATACAAGCATTATAAGCTTTGTTCATCTTTTGGTGCTGCATTTGATAAATTGTTGTTTTGTCTTTATAGTATTTATATTTCCATGTCTCCCCCAGACAATTGCAAGCACATCATTTCTTATCGGAGCTCTTTGGTGGGTTTTCCCAGTTCCTCTTATTTCTTTTTCACACTCGCAAACTCTTCTTTGAAATAAATCATCGCTTCCTGTCTCCCTGTGTGGCCCTGGGGCCGACTCCAAACCCACCACAAGCATCGATTCATTTAAGGGAACGATGGCAAAAGAAGTAGCATCAACAAAAGTTTTTTTTGTTTGTTTGTTTGTTTTTTTTAAAAAAAACTTTTCCACCTTTTATTATAGTTTATATTATTTATTTTGACTTCTGAAGAAGATAACAAAACACCATACTTGATGATACCTAACCCCCAGACTTTAACCCCCCAAAAAACTGCTGCTATATTTCCTGATCTGAATACAAAAAAATAAAAAAAATAAACAAAACATACTACACACGTTTAGAGAGAGTGAAACATTTTCTGGGGTGAATTCCAGGCAAGATGATATTTGGTTCCTACCCTGACCAGAAGAGATGATCCCTTGAAACTCATGTTTCAGATCAGAAAAGTAGAAGCCAGTATGCTCTCTTAAGCCTTTTGAAACAACATCATCAATCAGGTAAGAAATGAATAATGTGTGTTTGTGGAGACGCTTTGTTCAGATAGCCTCCTCCTTTATCCCAGTGAACAGACTGGTCAAACTCAGTGGGTTAAACCGCTGTCAAGAGACAATACAGAATACTGCTGACGGCTGCGTTTCTCCACACCTGGCTTATTTCGGTCAACTCTACCTCAGTGATGCCCTTGCTCTGTCTATCAGTTACATGTTAGGCTGCAACGCCATAATCTGAGTGGCCATAACTGGAGCCAAAACAAAAGATAGATTGTCAGTCTGGATGCATGGAAAGCATGTGAAGAATTACTTTCATGCTGACCTATCTGTAACTGTGCAGATACAGTTTTGAAGGAGTAGAAATTGTGAAATGAGTAAAAATTAGATGTGTGTAAATCTATGATGTCGAACCTATCTGGACAAGATTTAGCAAGTTTTGGCTACTTCTAGCTCTTTCTCAAACTTAATGTGAAAGTTTTGTTTATGTTTAATATTTTTATGATTTTTTTTTGTTCCTCTGACATGTATGAAATAAAGAAGAAAAAAAAAGTGCCTTCCGAACTCACCTAATTAGTTAAGAGGTTAATAGAAGAACACCCCTTACAGGTCAGGGATAAAGTGATTTAAATTTAAAAGCAGTATCTGAAGCTTTTAGCATCTTGCTGAGTATTATCAACACATTAATGGCCACCCCAAACCATTGCTCTCCACCTGAACTGACAAACTGGGTAATGAAAGCATTAATCAGGGAAGCAGCTACAAGTCTGTCAAACTCTGGATTATCTGCAGAGATCAGGTGGGGAACTCTGTTGACGGGAAACTGCTGCAGGAAGAAAGCCGTCGTTCGGACAAATACCACGAGAAGTCCAATTTAAAGGTTGGAGACACGGGAAAACATGTGGAAGAAGCTTTTTGGCCTCCGTCTGAATTCAGAAAACTAACACTGAAACGAAGTGGCAGCATGATGCTGCAGGGATGCTGGTCTGAGTAGATGGGAAGATGGATGGAGATGATTATGGAGGTAAAGCTGGACAAAACCCAAAAAGCAGGATAGCGACCATAAAAAACAACCAGCGTGACAATATAAGACTTTAGAAGAGAGCTGAATGAGACATTGAATCACGATCGGCATGATAACATCCTGGGTGATCCAAATTATATATGCTAACAACATGGACTTTCCATACAATGCTTCTCCACAAATGTGTTTTTTGTTCTTTTCATAATCAGTGTCATCACAGCATCATTCAGCTACACTATCCAATAAGATAGTGCAGCCAGAGTGTGGGAATGGCCTAGTCAAAGTCCAATCCTCTATAGCCAATTAAGAATTGTCCCGAGAGATGAGGTCATTCTGCAAGCACACGTACATTTGACTATGATATATGAATGATTGTCCAAAGATCACATAACGCAATAGCAGTCGCTCTCCGCAATGTTTCAATATCGACTGGCTAAACTGGAAAATGTCAAAACATCCAGAGAGTGGAGATCATAAACCTGAAGAAGGCTCCAGACTTTTCCTTAGAAGGAGCTCTCTTAACTTTCCTCCGCCGGCGAAGCTGAGCTCCTCTTGCCGGCGTTGGAGCGTCCATCGTGGGAGACGCGGTTCCTCCTCGGGTCACCGCTTTATTGTTTCAGAGTAACTTCACATCAAGCTGCTCTTTACAGTGGAAACCAAACCAGCAGCCGCGGGTGAAACTGGAAGAGCCGAGCGAGCCGATGGCGGCTGCTGCAGTTACATAACAATCCGATGAATCGCAGCAAACTTCCCTGGGATGAATTACTCGAATACAAACACAAACTTTACTTCAATAAATAACCCGGCTTTAAAGTTCAGACGCTACAGCGAAGCGAAGTGAAGCATGTTAAAATGAGAGAAAAAAACTAAACAAAACAAAAGACTCACCATACAGGGTCTGTGGAGGAAACGTGGAGGAGAAGCAGCTGAGTGCAGCAGACTGATGAGTAACCTTGGCTGGCCGTGTTGAGCTCACGGTGCCGCTCTGCTTTCCTCTCTCCCTGTGTGTGTGTGTGTGTGTGTGTGTGTGTGTCTGTGGAGAGGAGTGGGAGGAACACACAGCCCTGGCCTGTTGCCCTGCCGCTGGGGTTATATCCAGGAGGTGACCTGCTGTGTCGCAATGCCACTCACTATCAAGAGGATGACATCAGGCTGTGGTCAGGAGGACGACTGGAGATGGACTCTAGAGGGAAGCAGGTGAAGACAGGGAGGACGTGAGGTGTCAGGGAGAGTCAGAAGACTTCTCAGAGAAAGAGAAAAAAATATATCTCTGCATCCTTTTAAACTATTGAGATCAACGTTATATCCACGACCCTTCACTCATCTTTTGATGAAGCAGCATCCATATATATATATTTTTAATTGCCATGTTTTTTTGTTTTTTTTTTGTTTCAGGATAAAACGTTTTGTAATTACAGTACATCGCCTTTTTAAAAATGATTTATCTGATCTGTGATAAGAAAATTTTAAGGGTTGTAAAACCATTAAGGGGTAAAGTTAAGCCCTCCCCTCCCACAGAGCCGGCTCTGCTCAGATTGGTCAGCTGCTCTGACCTGATCAAGCCACGCCCACCATTCCACACCAGTTCTGCTGAAATTCAAATAAAAAAAAATACAAACGTTTCACAGGAGGCAAAGGTGGTGGCACAACGTTGCAGTGGAACATGGGGCAGAAGTCACTTTTCTTATTGTTTTCAGAGAAGTCTGCTTTTTCCTGGTCTGAACAATTTCATTCTCGGTCCCATGAAAACACCCAAAGTATTAATATTTCGACTAAGAACTGATTTTAGTGCAGCTTTAAAATGTTATACTTTTAGATGAACAACCCAGTGAGATCACATTGTTCCTCTGTACAGCTCGGAGGAGAAAATGAACAGAACTGCAACAAGACAGCTGTGGCTTTCTGGAACGTCCACTCTACCCCCTAAATTTCTGGGATTTTGGGACATAAAAACAAATTAGACTGATTCGTCATTTCAAACCGTTTAATTTAATGTGAAATATATATCCAGCTTTAACGTGAAATACATATCCAGTACTGCATGATGTAAAAACTGGTGGAACCTGCTTGTGCAACCTCTAAATTGTGCAACTTTTAATCAGATTTTGCCATTTTGCCAACCTTATTTTCCTTGGAAATATTTTGAATTCCCTGTTAACCGTCAGCTCACTAGCTGACCGCCGTAGGTTCTGGGTCAAAGTTGACCAGCATTTGGAGTTTTTCATACTGTTCACCCACCTTTCACTGCAGCTGCCTTTTTCATCTTTGAAGCTTGCGCAGAGCTCATCTACCTAACTGAATTTTCTCATATTATCTTTGGTGATTTGCTTCACTGCTTTGTGTCAAATTGACCTTTTGGAAAGTGTTTCCCAAAGTTAAATCTTGAATTTTTCACGTAATTAATATTATTAATTTCAGAATGTTTAGGGAGATTTCATTCAGGTCTGCATGTTTTATGTGAAATATAAGCCATTTGTTTGCACTCCTGCTGCTTCGTCTAAACTTGAGCAAAATACAAGAGATTGTTGTCAGAAGTTATCCCTGTCCTGGCAAAAATTCCTGCAGCTCCTCTTGGCAGTTCATCTCCTGTTTCCTCATTCATTTTTTGGAGTAATGTGCAGCTTTTGTTAAGTCGCTCTTGTTCCATATTTCCTCCACTCATTGATGACTGTCTTAATTCTGCAGCGGTGTGCATCTTGCATAATGCTGTAGTCGCAACCATCTCTTGACTAGATCATGTTGTTCCTTTGTAACTTCTCTGCATAATATTAAGGGTATATTCATGTATTCAGCCAGATCATTGCAGTTTGTTTTTGTCTGATCATGAGTTGTCTGATGAAGACGATATTATCTTTGAAAGAAGTGATAAACCTGCCATCTTAACAGGTGTGTGTCGATTTTTAAAAGCCACTTTAACTGCAGCCTGTTTGCCTCCAGACTGAAAGACAAAATGCAACATCAAAAGTCAAAACACATTCGAGCAAATATAGTTTTGTGATGGGATTTTATCAATATTACTCTTAGCTTCTAATGTTTTCATACAAATATATTGATGTCCATAGTGAATGCATTTCATTTGGAGATTTTCACCATCAGATTTTAAACAAATCCATCTGGACACTGGAAATGTTTTTCCTTCATTTCCAATAAAAATTTCCTTTAGCTTACTTTTATATTTGAGTGATCCACACTTTGCAAAAAATACTTTCAATCCCTTCACTCAAGCCTGATGAGAATAGTGTTTTTCATATTTTATTTTATTGAAATGATTATTTTTTTATGTATTGTTTTACACATTTTAGTCTTGAGAATTATTATTTTTTTGCTTGTTTTTTTCAGTGTTTATGTCACTCAGCAGGTCAAATATGCGTGTAGCTCTATGACATCTGCTTTTTTGATGAAGGGTCTCCTTGCTCAGCTTGTCAGTATGGATTGATTGATTGATTTCTCGTTGTGCCATGTTCTTGAAGGGAAGATTTTATCTACTGGACTAAATAAACATTTACAACAAAACATGTTGTTCTGTGGATGACAAACTATATTCACAGGGTATTCACTTCAACTGGCAACTTTAACTCAAACTGAGGTTCCATCTGTAATTCATTTATCTGATACAATGCAAAAAATAAAAAATTACGCATCAATAGGTTGAAACACATTGTCAAGCTGTTATTATGTTGTCCGAGCCAAATTGTAGTCTGTAGAGATGTCTTGTTCCAGTGGTAGAAAGTCAGGGCGCCCCCCTTTCTGAAAAACCTGGTCACCTGATCTGATTGGTCGCTTCAGTGGCCTGATCAGGAACCACCTCCCACTCAGTATCAGCTCTGCTGAAATATGAAATAATAGCAACATCTCATTTGTATGGGGGGAAAAAAATGTTCAAGGACTTAAAGTGTAATGATAAACCGTCATAAAACACAGAACTCTTTTGTTTGTTCTGATTTAGCTGAAAAAAGTATTTTGCAACACTAGGGGGGAAATGTTTTTTAAACTTATACATTCCATTTGATTGTACAAGTGCTGCTGCAGCACTGTTCAATCAAACATAATTTATAAGTTTACATGCAAAATGATAGGGTTTTATATTCCATGCATTATTCATTCCAGGTTATTCCCACCTTTGATAAGTATTTTCAGCTAGACCTCATCTAGTGCACCACTAGCCTGCTGCAGGGCATACATATAAAAAGGCATTCAAATCATTAGACCTCCCACTTTTGGTCAAAAATGTGTGGTTTCTTCTCCATTCAGGGTGATGACATATTAAGACTCAGAAATCAAGGAGAAATTATGAATAAAGTAACAAACCTGTTGGCAGGAGGTTCCTCTTGCCAGCTAGTTTTATATTAATCATTCTCTGCCTTTTTAGACAGTTATAACGTATCATATTAACATAATTACATAGAAACTGATAGATAAAAATGTGTTACAGGGGATCAATCAGAATAGTCTCAGAGTTGAAATGTGGAATTTTAAAACATCAGAATTAATCTGAGTAAACCTACAAATGTTCCCAGAGCTCTGTGTCCACTAGGTAGGTCTGCAGCAGCAATAATCATTATCTTATCTAAGAGGTCAAAATGAGGTAATACTCTCATCTGTCACTGCAACGCACTGTAGAATCAGACTCTGGTTCAACAGCACCACCTCGTGGTTGGACATACACATTTCATGATGTGCCTCAGTCACAAGTCTTGGTGAGTTAGAAAATATCAAATAGTTTATCTTGGACATTTAATCAAAAATAACCGAACTCATATTGTATAGATGTATTACTCGGCAGATAGAAACCCTTCAGAAGCAGGGTACGTCACAAAAAGTCATAGCTAATGACATATGCTGTTCAGGGACTTATGAAAAAGCCTCGAAATGGAAAGTTTAGTTGAAGAAATAGAAACAAGTCATCTGACAGACGTGAAATAGAAACACACGGTGTTGCCAGGAAGAAGACGAGACACCCAACTCAAAAAATCCAGAATACCTGAAGTCTGCCATTAAAGAGATATGATCTTGCATAACCACTTCATGAAGCAACAAGCTGATCAACATTTCAGCCTTGTTACTTTGATGAAGTAATTCCTGTGAAGGCCAAGTGTTGATTCTATTTAATCCACAATACCTTGATTACAATACCCCCCGACTTTCTTCCACTGGAGCTGGAACAGTCTGGCTTTGTGTTTTAAAATCCATTTTTAATGGTTTATGTAATATTCGAATAGCTGAGTTTCTTTTTTACTTTAAGCTCTCTAAAATTACATAAATGACTTGATGTCACAATATTTAAAGTGAATTTGCTAAAAACAAAACTTTCAAACATTCAAAGTCTAATGTTGAATAATTTTACTGTCAACTTGTTTTTGCAAATACATGTGGATATATATTTATACCAAAAGGTTCTAAAATCATTATATCTGGTGAAAAATCATTAACAAGTTCAGCTCTCCTGATTTGAACTATGTAGCTGTTAATATGCAACTGGCAACAAGGAAAAACAACAACAAAGAAAATTACTAAATGACTTGCAGATTTATAGATTTATTTGGAAAAAGTCACGTTGCAAACAGTGCTTTAACATTTTAATTTGAATGCAACAATAATTTCAAGGTCCCTCTAAGAAGTCAGCAGAACGAAGCAAACAAAATGCAAAACAAAGAAAAATCAACCCTAATGTTAGATGTCTAATCAACAAATAGAAAAAACAATAAACAAAAACAATCGTCAACAATTTAAAGAGCAAAAGATTCAGTATTTACAGGATAAGAGATTAATAGCAGCCTACTGTACATCTCTGCTACATTTACAATTTCACACAGATATGCTTAATTTTCAGACAAAAATAAATACACATCTGATTTTCTATTACATTACCCTTTCATAGTCCTATTAAAATAATTCTGTAATCATAAAAATCTCATACAGCGTATATACACACGCATGTGATGGAGGTGTGTTTCTTCACAACACACATGCAGCTGCGTTCTTTTTAATTGGACCTCTTTCATTTGGTGCGTCTTCTTCGTGCATGATTGAACAAAAAATAATCTGACGTGCGTTTGGAGCTCTCTCACTTCACTCGGTTGACTGGGTTACCAAAAAGCTCGGGGCACTGCTCTTCGCCTTTAGCAATCCTGTCGCACCTTTTGAGCAGGT